AGACCGTTTAGAGTTGTGACTGAACGTTTTTCGTGGTCACACACTTTAGAGTCGTGACTGAACGTTTTTTGTTGTCACACACTTCGGAGTAGTAACTGAACAAATTTGGTGGTCACACCCATAGAGTTGTGACCTAACGTTTTTCGTGGTCACCCCCTATAGAGTCGCGACAAAACGTTTTTCGTGGTCACACCCTTTAGAGTTGCGACTGAACGTTTTTCGTGGTCACACCGTTTAGAATCGTGACCGAAGGCTTTTCCTGGCCACACCTATAGAGTCGTGACTGAACGTTTTTCGTTGTCACCCCCTTTAGAGTCGCGACAGAATGTTTTTCGTGGTCACACCCTTTAGAGTTGTGACTGAACGTTTTTCGTGGTCACACCCTTTAGAGATGTGACTGAACATTTTTCGTGGTCACACCCTTTAGAGTTGTGACTGAACGTTTTTCGTGGTCACACCCTTTAGAGTTGTGACTGAACATTTTTCGTGGTCACACCCTTTAGAGTTGTGACTGAACGTTTTTCGTGGTCACACCGTTTTAGAGTTGGAGCTGAACGTTTTTCGTGGTCACACCCTTTAGAGTCATGACTGAACGTTTTTCGTGGTCAGACCGATTAGAGTTGCGACTGAACGTTTTTCGTGGTCAACCTCTTTAGAGTCGTGACCTAACGTTATTCGTGGTCACACCCTTTAGAGACGTGGCTTAACGTTTTTCGTGGTCAGACCGTTTAGAGTTGCGACTGAACGTTTTTCGTGGTCAACCTCTTTAGAGTCGTGACCTAACGTTATTCGTGGTCACCCCCTTTAGAGTCGCGACACAACGTTTTTCGTGGTCACACCCTTTAGAGTCGTGACCGAAGGTTTTTCCTGGCCACACCTATAGAGTCGTGACTGAACGTTTTTCGTTGTCACCCCCTTTAGAGTCGCGACAGAATGTTTTTCGTGGTCACACCCTTTAGAGTTGTGACTGAACGTTTTTCGTGGTCACACCCTTTAGAGTTGTGACTGAACATTTTTCGTGGTCACACCCTTTAGAGTTGTGACTGAACGTTTTTCGTGGTCACACCGTTTAGAGTCGTGACTGAACGTTTTTCGTGGTCACACCCTTTAGAGTCGTGACTGAACGTTTTTTGTTGTCACACACTTCGGAGTAGTAACTGAACAAATTTGGTGGTCACACCCATAGAGTTGTGACCTAACGTTTTTCGTGGTCACACCCTATGGAGTTGTGACTGAACGTTTTTCGTGGTCACACCCTTTTAGAGTTGCTGCTGAACGTTTTTCGTGGTCACACCCTTTAGAGTCATGACTGAACGTTTTTCGTGGTCAGACCGTTTAGAGTTGCGACTGAACGTTTTTCGTGGTCACACCGTTTAGAATCGTGGCTGAACGTTTTTCGTGGTCGCACCCTTTAGAGTCGTGACCGAAGGTTTTTCCTGGCCACACCTATAGAGTCGTGACTGAACGTTTTTCGTTGTCACCCCCTTTAGAGTCGCGACAGAATGTTTTTCGTGGTCACACCCTTTAGAGTTGTGACTGAACGTTTTTCTTGGTCAGACCGTTTAGAGTTGCGACTGAACGTTTTTCGTGGTCAACCTCTTTAGAGTCGTGACCTAGCGTTATTCGTGGTCACCCCCTTTAGAGTCGCGACACAACGTTTTTCGTGGTCACACCTTTTAGAGTCGTGACTGAACGTTTTTTGTTGTCACACACTTCGGAGTAGTAACTGAACAAATTTGGTGGTCACACCCATAGAGTTGTGACCTAACGTTTTTCGTGGTCACCCCCTTTAGAGTCGCGACTGAACATTTTTCGTGGTCACACCCTTTAGAGTTGTGACTGAACGTTTTTCGTGGTCACACTCTTTTAGAGTTGTTGCTGAACGTTTTTCGTGGTCACACCCTTTAGAGTCATGACTGAACGTTTTTCGTGGTCAGACCGTTTAGAGTTGTGACTGAAAGTTTTTCGTGGTCAGACCGTTTAGAGTTGTGACTGAACGTTTTTCGTGGTCACACCGTTTAGAGTCGTGACTGAACGTTTTTCGTGGTCAGACCATTTAGAGTTGTGACTGAACGTTTTTCGTGGTCAACCTCTTTAGAGTCGTGACCTAACGTTATTCGTGGTCACCCCCTTTAGAGTCGCGACAGAACGTTTTTCTTGGTCACCCCCTTTAGAGTCGTGACTGAACGTTTTTTGTTGTCACACACTTCGGAGTAGTAACTGAACAAATTTGGTGGTCACACCCATAGAGTTGTGACCTAACGTTTTTCGTGGTCACACCCTTTAGAGTTGTGACTGAACGTTTTTCATGGTCACACCCTTTTAGAGTTGTTGCTGAACGTTTTTCGTAGTCACGCCCTTTAGAGTCATGACTGAACATTTTTCGTGGTCAGACCGTTTAGAGTTGTGACTGAACGTTTTTCGTGGTCACACCGTTTAGAGTCGTGACTGAACGTTTTTCGTGGTCAGACCGTTTAGAGTTGTGACTGAACGTTTTTCGTGGTCACACCGTTTAGAGTCCTGACAGCACGTTTTTCGTTGTCACACCAATAGAGTTGTGAATTCTATTATTAAAGATCGTGCTATAAAACGTGACAATCAAGTCAACGCTTGTTTGCTCTGTGTGAAGATAAATGTGTAACAATTATTCAGCAGGAATTTGTATCGCTAAACTGAATAAAATTGTTTTGCTTAGAGCCCGCATTGCGGGCTTAAGAGACTAGTAACAGTACTAAACCGTAACGCACATTATTTCCGGGCCGGTAGAGGCAATAAGTATGTATTTGGGTCAGTCATGATTTATGTATGTACATCATCCAACGTTTCTAAGAGTGTGGCTACATAGATAAATACTTCATACGAGGACATTGAGTTGCATGTTGCATGCAATATCGTACCTCACACGTGGCTTCTAGTATCTGCTCCTGATCATGGAATTTAGAATCTATACATGCATTTTTAATTTGACGTGTAAACCCATGCAAACGAAGTCTGTGCAATAATTTTGAGAACTAATACATACATATGTCCTCTGCCTGAACAATCTTGCGAAAAGAAATTCCAACATTTCCAGTGAAAAGTCATATTCAAGTTTCCAGATGTACAAGGTTTGCGAATGTTATCGTGCTTAGAGTACGCTCTAATTCTCCATTCTATAAATTTGTGTACACAAGAGAATAGAAAATATATGCAATTAATCATGTATTTACAACTCATAAATGGAACTTATTACAATTTGTTTCTGCAAATTTATTGTAAACGCTATGTACATACACATACAAAAAAGTAGTTTTCATTTCGAGATCTTTCGAGACCCAAACAAAATCAATACAAAAAAACGACACAAATATTTACATTATTTGCACTTCTACGTCGTCTCTTCCAAAAGTGACGGCCTCTTCTTAACCGCCCTGTCCCTTCTTATTGACCAAAATTTACACAAAAAAATTGTACTCCCATCAATCATTAATTCCTAATATTTTCGCGTTTGGAAAAACGCCGAACAATCGCTCGCAAAGCCTAGCTGATTCGTTTGTTTGTGTATAACACCAATTCAATTGTTGATATGGACTTGTCTCACTGAATGAATTGGCTTATCTTCTGGGGGAAGAAATGCATCAACCATGGAAAAGTCGTAACTGTGAACGTTCAAAACTTCCAAGACTGGGAAGCCCACCTTGTAATCAATCCGTCCAAAGCTTCCTGATCTTGGACCGCTTTCGAATTCTACAGAAGGGTTTGGCACGTACGTGGATACGAATTTGACCTTGAATAACCCCAGAACGGTTTGTCGCAGCGGGTCAAAATTTTGAACAGACGAGCATGTTATTCTCAAATACGTGTGTGCAAAAATTCAACTCTCTACTTTCAAAAATGCCTCCCCCACAGCCCACAGAAGTTGAGACAGTCATTTTAAGTTTTTCCAAACCCCGTAAAAAATTCGGTCTCCGCAGAAAAATTTTTGTTTTCAAGTATCCGACCCCAAATAAGTCCATTTGACTTATATCGGGGGATTGTATAGGTATTTCACTATTCGAAGTGATTTTTATCTCAAATCTAACTTCAAAGTCGTTGGTATTATCTTGGGTCAACCTTGCCGTCTAGGAAGACGCTCCGTCATGATGAAAACTCACCTTAATTATTTTTTTACCGTGCAATTTATTAAAATGTTATTCTAAAAGTGGTTTCAATACACGGTCCACATAATACTTCGAAGATTCCTTCACTTTTTGGTGGACTTTGGTAAGTGGGAGGACACCATGACCCTACATTGCACCCATCACCATAAACTGTTTAAAAAAGTTCTCCTCACGCGGAAGCACCAACTTGCGTGAATTGTTTTCGGCATTTGTCGTGTAATAAGCTCTTCGAACCTAATTAGTAACTTGTGGAGAAATTAGTGCTTCGTCAAATGTCACCAATAACTCACTCTGATTCCTTGACAGAAAATTCAAATAATTTTTTTTGTAAACACGGGCTTGAGTTTTTTCCTGTTTTTCGGTCAGCTGATGCATACGAGTTTTCCGACGACGTCGTTTCTTCAAAATCTAAATTTCTCTTTTCACTCAACGCTTAGACACCCCAACCTTACGGAAAATTTCCCTTTGGGTCGGTGGAGTGTCTTTTGAGGTCAAGAGGTCACTTTTCCTAAGCACGGCCGGAATTAACACTTTTTTTGCCTTCTTAGAGGGGGTGGTGGTTGCCCTTAGCTCAAAATTTCTCGCTTTTCACTTATATTTTTCAATACCAGATTGATTCTAGATTTCGAAAATGTTATCCCTTCACTTTTAAGATGTTCTGTTATTAGGCTAGACGAGTACTTAAGTTTGCAACGAGTTTTTATGACTGCCTCACCTTCTGTGGGCTGTGGGGGAGGCATTTTGGAAAGTAGAGAGTTGAATTTTTGCACACACGTATTTGAGGATAATATGCTCGTCTGTTCAAAATTTTGACCCGCTGCGACAAACCGTTCTGGGGTTATTCAAGGTCAAATTCGTATCCACGTACGTGCCAAACCCTGTAATCCGACCCTATTAGTTTTAAAGTTATAAATCCCGAAGTTTTTCATGGCCGGAAATACTGGGAATTTCCACCCCGTTTCTTCATCATCGGAGTCAAAACGGATAGAAAAGTTGTCAAGAGTGAGAGAATGTTTCTTTAATAATTTGTGCAGAATGGTTGGCAGCTCACCAGCACGGATGTCGTCACTTACAAAGTCCGCCCTAAACTCCAGTTTTTTTCAAACTTGAAGGAATTTTCAGGAGACATTCGAACCGATCGGCGTTCAAATCTCCAGTCAATTCCAGCGAATTAAGGGAACTGAAAAGTAAGCAAACATTAATTCAGATCTGTCTAACAAGGGCAACTTCCGAGGTGCCAGCCGTGTCCAGGATACTTAGAATCTACTAGAACCCTAGATGAACGATCCATTCTCATTTACGTGCAAAACTTATATTTGGCGCCGTGCTGTGGCGCCACATTCGCCAAAATTGAATTAGCGCCAAATATAAGTTTTGCACGTAAATATGATTGGATCCTTCATCTAGGGTGCTTGTAGATTCTAAAAAACACAGTGGGTATCTTGGACATGGCGGGGACCTCGGAAGTCTAATTGTAAGTCGTCCAAGTTATCAGCTCTAGCAGAGATGTGCAGTGTCAGTGCCAAGACTGTGCATGTACGTATGTATTGTCGTATTTACCAAGGCCAGAGACTGGTCAATCCCGGATTAAGGATTGGGGATTGAGATTGGGATTGGGGATTAATTAATCCTTAATCTCAATCCTTAATCCCGAGTTTTTGAATTTTAATCCTTAATCCCTAATCCCCAATCCAAATCTGTCAACTATAATCCAAAAGTGGGATTAAAATGGGATTAAGGTGGGATTAAATTTGCATTCACTAAAAACTCAAAAAGCAAACTTCTCTTGAGATCGCTCCCCTTTCGAAAATTGATTGCATTTCGTTCATTTTTATCAAACATTTAAAAATACTCCAAAATATTTTGCAAAACTACTCGTATCGTGGTATCCTCAATGTGCAATGTTCAAATTTTGTGTGAGCTTATAAAGAAATGTGAGTACTCTGACCAAACTATGATCGATGCTGTTCGTTAAAATAGTACCAAGAATAAAATTAGAATTCTTCCCCTATATAATTTTTAGCACAAAAAATATTTAATTATGACTTAGAAATTGTATTCGTAAGCCATCTAATTTTGTATGCAAAATGATCAAAATATTCCATTTTCAGAAGTTCAGAGATTTGTTTAATTAATTTAAAAATCTGGCATAATAATGCAAACAATTAATCCACGACTATGTAAATTAATTTCCAAACCAGGTAAACCCTAAATTTAATCCCGTGTTAATCCCAATCCCAGATTAAATTTAATCCCGTGTCAATCCTAATCCCAGATTAAATTCAATCCCTAATCCCAATCCTTAATCCCAAAATTTGGAAAATTAATCCTTAATCCCGAATCTCAATCCCAAGATTTTAAATTTAATCCTCAATCTCAATCCTTAATCCCAATATCTTTAATCCGCCAGTCTCTGACCAAGGCGCTACATAAACTGCCTCATAAACATGAAATTCCTGTAATACCTTGTCATAAATGTCACAAATGTCAAAAATGTCGTATCATATGTAGATGTTAAGGAAATGCCAGCTTGGACTATTTTAATGTCTGCATTTTAAAAGCTACTTGAAAATAAAATTATTTGATCACTAGACTAAATATTACATTTGTCAGAAATGTCATCTCACATTTTTCAAAATTTGGCATCTTATTGTTTATCGACAAGTTATCAGTATCAGTCAAACAATAAATGTCTGACAAGCATACAAATGCATCACTTTGACATTTATGAGACGTCAAAGAAATGCTTACAACTTACCCAGGCAACTATTGTAGGACTTCCTGTTTCGAAATGTCTAATAAATTGTTGCAGTTAATTAGGAGATATTTCAAAGCTGGGAACACTGCCGTAATAGCTTGGCTAACTACCTCGTGCTGTATATTTCCAGGCCGTGGATCTTGAACTAGGCCAGCAATGAGTTGCAGTTTCTTTAACTTTGGGAAAACAGTGCTCCCACCGCATGGGGAGAAATCTTCATGAAAATACCATTCGTACTTTAATTCTTCCAGAATGGGGGCCGAATTCAGTATAATTTTGTCACACAAGTCCTTCTGCCAGTCTTCCCTGATAAAAAAGTGGACCACAATTGATTTTAGATTTCTGATCAAGGGAAATTTTTCGAGATCCAGGGGTGGTAGTGTATGAGTGTATGACATAATCTTTAAATTTTTAACAAATCCTAGCTTTTCTACAATTCCTGTACCCAATCTCCACTCCTGATATTGGTAATCATAATCTCCAGTGCAAAGTTTAATTCTAATAAAGGTCCTCGCCTTCAGCACTGGGGTTGCATGGTAATTCCACGACCGGCAGACAAGCCGACACTTTTTTATGGTCCCGACTCCAAGGAATTTGCAGAGGTGAGGAATTACCTATGAATTTTGAATCAGTAACAAATTAAGAAATCAGGGATTTTCAAAGTGTGAGTAACAAAAATCTAGTTTTACATTTAAATTAAAATAATATCGAAATAATTTTACATATGGAATAAGAGTTGGACCGTAAAAGGGAGTGGGGTCGTCTTCATCATCACGGCAAAACTTGAAATCTCCTCCCTTCAAAAATAAATACGTATGCAGTTATTGGAAAAGTTCAGAAAAAGGGTATCATCCAAATTAAAAAAAAACTTACTTCAGATTCCTTATTCCACAACATTATAAAGATAAAGGCAACCTTCAACGGATAAGGTAGATACGTTTCCAACGCTTCTACTTTTCTAGCTTATGTAATATTGGAATTAGCTAAATTATGTACTTGAAGGAAATTTTTGTGACAAATAGTATTATTCTTGTCCAAACCAAGCGACAGGAGCCAGATGATCAAAAATTAACAAAGGTTCGAGCTTCCTCTGCCTTTACATGTTTAAAACCACCACCACCACTTTGTCTCCCTAGCAAGTTTACATATATGCAAATATTTCTCATGCATTCTGTGTACAATAAACGAAGTGATCAGAATGTACATAAATCATAAGGTTAGAAAAATTCATGTTGAAAGTTTGCAAAATTTTTAATCTTTGACCCCTCAGCGATCGTCAATAATGGCAACGCCATTAATGAGTTACGCCGTCTGCGTGCAATGATTTACACAAATTCAAATTCAGGCAATACTATGGAAATTATTAGGGACCAAGTTGAAGTTTAAAATACCAGCATATTCGTATTTTTACCTGAAACCTTGTCCTCACCCTTACAGATTGGTTCGTGGTCAAAAATATCGACGCCGTTGAATTAGTAATCAAAATTCGAATTTTCTTGACCACTAATGTCTTGTACGTGCATAAATTTTCCAAAAAAGTCTACAGACTTTTTCCAAGCATATTTGTTTACACCAGTGAAATCTGTAATGTAATTTTTTCTCGTCATCATGCTAAATCTGCGAAATCTCGGAAATAATCGTGTCATGATTTACTCATGAGATGTACATACTACATAAATAAGTTTCAATTTTCAAATTTTTGCACACCCGAAAATAGAAAATATAATCATCCACAACTTTAAATAAACGAATGCAATTAAAATTCATTTCTCCAAATTTATTACGTTTACAAACACAAACAAGTACATTTGCCATTTCGAGATCGACACAAAAACAGTTCAGATTTTACAAAAACGTCAGTAGCAAAATGTCAACAAAATCAGAACAACCAACGACATAAATATTTACATCAATGGATCCATCTCAGGCGCCTCCTTCAAAACCGATGTCCTCTTCTCCGCCCCCCTGACCCTGCGAATTGACCTCTTGATGCTTTGTGGCTTCGGCATGTGACCCACACTTCCATCCGGCATTTGCTGCATCTCATTGGCGATGAGTTGCTCTGCCGAAATTGATGAACTACTCGCCGCCTGCAGAATCTTGGTCATGACCTTCTTCACTTCACAGGCAGCCGATTTCGGTTCGTGGTTATGCTCGCCGACTTGCAGTAGGAGGGCCGGCTTGCTTAAATTAACACTCGTGTGTATCCTGCATTTGCACTTGTACTTTTGAAATTGGGCACACCTCCAGAACATTTTTGTGGATGCCTTCTTGTCCAGTTGGAAAAGGTTTCCGTCCAAAGAGAGGAGCGGTCTGTCTTTCCTCGAGGTCAAGATTTGAATCTCACCGTGACTTTGGGGAATTGAGGTTTGCGGATTGGGTAATTTTCTTGGAGATTTCCGAAAACTGAAGGCAAAATTGAATAAACAATAATTAGTAAACACAGTAATACATTCTTAAAAATAATGCAGAAAATAATTAAGAAAACAAAATACTCTTTTACAAAATGTGTTAGCCTTTTGACAAAGTACGTGCAGGAAGGCCCCGTTTTAGGTATAGGCGAGCTAGGCAACCGCCTGGGGCGCCAGATTTTCGAGGGGCGCCGGCAGGCGCCCCTACACACTAGCTAAAAACGACTATCCGGAATTTTAAAATTTGTTGTGGAAAATAACATAAAAACTGACTTTCACTGAAATCTGTGCTACAAAATTTTATTTGTAAGTCATTCACAAATTTTAACTTGCGAAACTTTCAATTTTAGGAATAAACTGCAATTTCTTCGTAAGGCTTTACAATGCAGCAGTGTGAGGTGGTTACGTCCGATTTTCGCCGGACTAATTTAAAATTGTTCACTCGCAGAAATAACCCAACATATGTATACTTGAATGCGATTTTTTCCCATATGTATGGATTAATTTTTTAATAAATTTTCAGCCACAATCGGGATTTTTGAAAACTTTCATCGCATTTATCAAATTTTAACCCGATCAAGAAAAATATGCACAGCGTTTGCTAAGAATAGCTTCGCGGATACTATAAAATCCATTTTTGTTAATCTTCTAAATCAAACAAAAATAGTGTTTTGTGCCTCTAAAGATTCAGAAACACTTGTAGCATCAACTTGTAGCATCAACTCTTCAAGATTAAAAAAAATGTGTATAATTTCAGCGAATTCTAAGCAAAATTGTATTGAATTTTTAAACTGGTAAAGTTGTAACATTTATTGGATTAAAAAACCGGGTATTGGCTGTAATTTTATCCTGAAATTCTACTACATTCGTAATCCCGCGGATTAAGTATGTGCCCGCTAATTTTCTGAGCATGAGCAACTTGAAATTAGTCGCCTCAAACTCGGGGATAACCAGCTTACGCTTTTCCATTGTTGTATGATTTAAATTTAGAATAAGCAAAGCCTCAAAAACTTAGATATAACAAGATATTTAATTAAACTTATCTAAAATATGCTGATTTATGTAAATTCAATTAGTGTAAAATGCAAGTTTGTATTATATACAGGTAGGTGCAGTACATAAAAGTGTTTTCGAGCGCCGATGATGCAAGCACGTAGGGGCGCCATTGTCGTTCTGCCTAGGGCGCCACATCGCCTAGAACGGGGCCTGCGTGCAGGCTAAATAAATAAATAAATAAATATAATTTACATACATACTTTACCAATTAAACGGTAACGAGTAAAATTTACACTCAAGTTTGTGTAGTTTACTGGATGCAAAATTTAGAGTGCATTCACTTTTTAAAAGACCAGCATTATGTATTTTTAAGAGTGGAAACTCTAATTTGTCACCTGTTCGGCCTTGCCGTCCATTCATCATCAATATTTGAGTCTTCATCATGATCTTCATTATCCGGAATGATTTCGACATCTTCGAACTCCAAATCTCCCCCCGCATCCAGACCGTCGTCAACCTCAACTGATTCCATTTTTATATCCGAGTCGTCACTTCCGGCGGGTTCGTGGGGGTCGGTGTTATCCGTTGGTCCTTTCGGGGAGACCGGATACCACCAGTTCATCATCTTCTCCGGCCCTGGCCCGGAAACGTTTTGCCTGGGTCGCTTACCTAAGCACAAAAAAATTCCTTTTAAATGAACCCCCTAACAGATAGAGAGATTTTACAGTTTAAATACATAATTTGGACATAGGTCGTCATCTACGTTGTTGCGTTACGATAACTAGTGCAATATTTGTTAGTACTGATGCAGGGGGTATTTCTTATCACAGATCAAATATGACCCAAGATAAGACGTAAAATAAAGGATAAGGCCTTTGTTACTCGAAGTTTGTAATTGTTTTATACAACGACGTCCCGCGTGACTTGGGGGCGGCGCGAGTGACAATACGACTCCTTCACCAAGATGCAATTTTTGCATATACGATTTCTCTCCAAATTATTTAGAGTGTATTCCTGGCATTTTAAAGTTCATTTCCGTGTACATATTTGTCAAAAAACAATTAAATTATTCGCACCGCGTACTTTTATGAAATTTCACAAATTGAAATATTTATAATTGAACTGAGATGAGATTCATAATACCTTTCGGAGAATTTAAATCACAGTCTTTAACCCTTTTCTTGATATCTGTGACCCTCCTCCCGATCAGATTGAGGAGCCCTTGCACATTCGCGTAGAGCAGGGTGACCTCCTCCCACGCCGAGTGACACGTCGAACACAACTCCGCCGGAGAAGAGGTCCGTGGCGCCACGCCGACTTGGGCGCAGAGAAATGGAAACGCATCCATCGTCGTGGTCGTCGCCGTCGTGGCGAAACTTGCCTCCGTGCAAAACACGCAGCTTGGCATGGCCTGCAGGGAAAAAATATGGTTTAAAAAACAGTCATGCCGTCAATTGTTACTTGGTAAACCCGTATTTAAGTTTTGCGACATACTTTATTAAATAATATGATGATTCGTATAATTGAATTTCATAAACCTTTATTAAATAAAAGTTCGACAATTGATATTACTAAGTTGATAACAGTCTAAGAGCTAATTTTTTAAGTTTGTGGAATTTAAAATGTTGCCGGACTCACAATCTACAATGATTTGAGAAATTTAATTCAGAGAAACTTGTGAAATTTAAACACAAAATTGTAAACTTTGCTTAAGAACTGGACCATAAAGTTCTTAGGACAATTTGTGACAATTTGTCACCAAATTATTATATTAAACTTAACAAATTCTTCATACGAAAGTAAGTGACTGTACAAATGTATTCGGAATAATTTCCTAAGATATTTCATAGAATATGTATATAAAATTGGAACAATAAAATTTGTTGAGTATGATATCTTACGAATCGTAATCAGCAAACCTTTTATCCAATTGATGCGATGAATGTAAACCGTTAATTAATTAATGGTTCCAATTCCGGTTGAACAGAATGTTTATTTTTTACTGCTGTAAGAAGCAACACATGGTTTTGTTATGTTTTCTGCCTTCATGCCGCTGCAGAATTTCAGAGTTCTCCTTTTACTTGTATTAAAGTGTGCATAATATTTTTCATGTCATGCACATAATATGTACATACGTATTATGATGTATGAATGTACATGATGTACATATGTATGTATTTATGACTTACATACATACGTCTGCAATAAATATTTTGTTTCAACAAAGGCTAAATTCTTATTTAAGAAATTTATTCAACTATGAATAGCACAGTATATCTGGATGACAATTACGTACATACATGCAAACATAAAAATAGATTCGTTTTGGTTTTGACCAAAATCAATATACCAATTCTAGAAAAGAACTACATACATAATTATTCATCTATGTTCTGAAAATATATATATTTAAAAATATATATATTTGAAATTTACGAAACATTAAAAATTTTACTCCCATTAATGATTAATTCCCAATATCCTCGCGTTTGGAAAAACGTCCAAAAATCGCTCGCAAAGCACAGCTAATTCCTGTGTTCGCGTATACCACCAAAGATTGATGTGCACTTGTCTCACAGATTTCACAGGCCTACATGCGCTGCCCCCTGGCGGAAGAAATACATCAACAGTGGACAAATCGTAGCTGTGAACGCACAAAATTTGCAAGACTGGGAAGCACACCTTGTAATCAATCCGTCCAAATCTTCCTGACCCTGGACCGCTTTCAAAATTCAAATACAACTTTTTTAGTTTTATTATTATAAATCCCGAAACTTTTCATGACCGGAAAGGCCGGGAGTTTCCAACTCGTTTCTTCATCATCGGACCCCAAACGGATAGAAAATTTTTCCAGTGGGCGAATGTTTCTTTAAAAATTTGTACAGAATGGTTGGCAGTTCGTCGGCGCGGATTTCGTCACTATCAAAGGTTGTACTAATGTCGAGTGTTTTCAAACGAGAAGGAATTTTGAGCAGACATTCTAACCGATCAGCATTTAAATGTCCACTCAATTCCAGCGAATTTAGTGATCTGCAAAGTAAGTAAAAATTAATTCATATAAATTTTCCACAGCCCTGGTATAAATGTGCAATGCCAGTGTCAAGAATGTGCATGCCATAAATGTCCTGTATAAAATACATATTTGATATTTGCCAAAGATTTAAACTTCCTGCCAAATAGGACATTCCTGCCATGACATGGCATAAACATCTTGTCATAAATGTAACAATAACGAGAGTTTGGAGCGTTTGAATTTGGCTGAGTTGGAAAAGTTTCCTCGAAAGAGAAGTGTTTGACAGCTAAAAATATTCGATACATTTGTCCGAAATGACCTATTTTTCAAAATTATCAACCAACAAATATATCATTTCCTTGGTTGTCGGGAAGTAATAAATGCCAGACAGTTACACAAATAATATGAAAAAATAAATATTTGACAAGTGCCACTTTGACATTTATGACACGACAAACCGGTACATCCCTACATAACTTACTGTGGAAATTTTTGTAACATTTCCATTTTCGAAATTTCATACAAGTGGCTACAGTCAATTTTAAGGAATTCCAAAGCTGGGCACGCTGCCGCAAGGGCTTGGCCAATTATTTCTAGCTGTGGATTTCCATCCCGTGGAGCTTGAACCCGGCCACACTCCAGCACTAGTTTCTTCAATTTTGGGAAAACAGTGCCCTCCCCACATGAGGGGAAATCTTGATGAAAATACCACTCATACTTTAATTCTTCCAGAGTGGGGGACGAACTTAGTATAATTTTATCTGACAAGTCCTTCTGCCACTCTTCTCGGATGTAAAAGTGGACAATAATTGATCTTAGATTTCTGACCATGGGAAACGTTTCGAGATCCAGGGGTCGTAGCGTGGGTTTACACGATGAAATTTTTAGACGAGCATTAAATCCCAGCTTTTCCACAATTTCTGTATCCCATCTCCACTCCTTGTGACGTCGTTGATCATGCTTTCCAGAGGCAAGTTTAATTTCGATTAGTGTCCTCGCCTTTAGCACGGGGGTCGCTTCATAATTCCACGACCTGCAGACTAGTCGGCATTTTTTTATGGTTCCGATTCCAAGGAATTTGCATAGGTGAGGAATTACCTATGTATACAAATATGAATCAGCAACAAAATAAACAATATCTAAAGTTTAATATCTAAAGAAATATTGTCCAAATAATTTTACATCCGGAATAAGAATAGGACGCAATAGGGACTGGCAGTGGGGTTGCCATTGTTATCAGACGACAATTTGAAATCTCCTTCCTTCAAAGGAAAATATATGAAATTTTTACAAAAGTACGTGAAAATATGCTTCCTCTATTTTAGAAAGCTTACATCACGTTCCTCATTCCACAACATGATATTATCTTTAAAAGATAAAGCTTTCAACGGATTGAGTTACGGCAGTAAGTACGCTCCCAGGTTCCACATTATTCAGTCTAATACTTAAATTAAATTAGTTATCGAAAATTTTTGCGACGAATATTATTCTCGACCGGACCAGCGAGAATAACCAGATGATCAATAATTAACAAGACTTCGAGCTTACTCCGCCTTTATTTAAATAAAACCACCACCACCACAACTTTGTCTCTCTTCCGCATGCAAATATTTTCTATGCATTTTAACTGCTGTACATAGTCCGACCATAAGTTCCCGTGAATGCATTTCCGGTGACAAAGCCCAAAGTATTAGAGCTATCTGATAGAAATTTTTGTGGATGAACAAGGTATTAATCTTGTTTAGAAATCATAACTTCGTTTTCACAATTTCCTCCATGGGCTTGTACACAAGACATAAGTCGTGGCGAAAACTGCTCGATCGCGGCACGCACGGATTTCCAGGGAAAAGCGCCAGATCTTCAGTAAGTGCGACCTCAGCCCTTCCACACTTGGGTGAAATTTAGAGCATACTTGTACCTATAATTTTCACCACCAGTCATAATTTAGGGGATTAAGGTCTGCAGATACTGAGCACCGTTCTACGGATGAAAAAAAGTCATGAAAATTCGTCTGAAGCCAGTTTTGGACAATTTTGCACCTTGCGCATGAGCAGATTCTTGTTGAAAGGTCCAATGGCGATTTTCGGAGGGTCCAGGGTTCAGGTTATTAACGTTTGGCTTTAGGACACTCTGAAAATAATTCTTGGCTTCAACTTGTACCCTTTGCGGTAAAAAACAGAGATTTCATTTCTCCAGCCAACTTGCTCCCATTCACACCACGGTGATGACTTCGTATTGACTTCCGCATACTTAAACGGATGTCAGACTTCTGTACAACAAATATCTGGCCTTTTTTTCTATTAAATTTTTTGCCAACGGTGAAAAGTCTGAAATACTTTTTGCACGAAAATTGGCGCGTACCACGATCAACCTGTGGCCGTCACGAGTTATGTCTTGTCTAATTGCCCGTGGACGAAATCTTGACAAAGAAGTTATGATTTCTAAACAATATTAATACCTTGTTAATCCATAAAAATTTCGAACACATAGCTCTAATACTTTGGGATTTATTACCGGAAATGCATTCACGAGAACTTATGACCCCGCTATGTACATATGAAGCGATCAGAATGTAAATTGTGTTTACCCCGTCATTTTGAAGGTTTAGCAAATTTCAAATTTGATCTCTCAGTGACCGTAAATTGCGACGTCATCAATTAGTTAGGGCACCTACATACATATATGCGTGCAATGATTTTCATAAATTCACGGAATCGTATCGACATTATGCATGGCCGACTCTATGATTTAATGTGTTATACGCTGATTTTCTTTTAAACCTATGTATCATTTACATACATATCTTGATTCTTCAGTCACTGATTCTTCAATCAATCAATGAATTCATTCAATAATTGTCAGACAGAAGATCCGGTAATTAAATTAAATCTGATCAATCACTGATCCCAACTATTTATTGGTCGAGTAGCGCAATGTCATATGAAGGTGTTTCCACGCAAATTGCAATGTATACGATGCGCAGCTGACGAAATTTGACATATTTACATATGCATTTTGCTCCGTGTTTGTATTGCCAAAACCGTTGCAAATCCTTTGTGATTAATTCATTTGAGTAATGGATTTGCACAGGGACATTGCAAATCTATTCATGGAAGGTAATCGATACAATAAATTCGTACGTATCTATCTACATATTACAAACCAGTAATTTACCGGTCAGAAAGTCAACAATGGTAATCACCCCAATTAAGCTGCAGTACACACAGTTATTACAGAATATCTATTTTGAACCGTGTTCGATAACGACGCCGAACATGAAACAAATACATACAAATCTAATTGAGCTACATACACTCTTAGAATTCCGGTATTATGAATACAATACCACGCACTACTCATACATACATGGGTATATATTTATACGAGTCTATCAATCTGGTCTTGCAAGGGACACTCAGGACCTGTAGTTTGAGTCCAGGGTACCCACTATGTTTTTTAGAATCTATTAGGACCCCAGATGAAGGATTCATTCATATTTCCGTGTAAAACTCATATTTGGCGCCGTGTCGTGGCGCCAAATTCGCCAAATTTGAATGTTTTTATTTTTGAAACCGCCACAACTTTTGAAATCCTGGACGGATTTTCAAAATTTTGGGCAAAAATCATGACAAGGAGTTCAACTTTCTTATCCCTTAAAATTTTTCCCAAAATTATCGCTTTTAACTTTTCTCAAAATTTCATAATTTGCTTAGAAATGGGGGTTCGTCGAAAAAATCCTAAAAATATTTCAAAAATTACATATTTTTTAATTTTATTTTTTCCTCTAAAATTTCGACTTGTGTGATCATTTTAAGCATGAAATTTTGAAAATCTGACATAAACTGCAAAAGTTATGAGGGTTTGAAATTGGTCCAAAATGCTATTTTTTTAAGTTTGGCGCCACGCTATGGCGCCAAAATATGAGTTTTACACGGAAATATGAATGGATCCTTCAGCTGGGGTCCTAGTATATTCTAAAAAACATAGTGGCCACCCTGGACTCAAACGACAGGTCGTGAGTGTCTCTTGTTGATAAGGTTCGTCGTAGTAATGGTTCGGTGTTGCAGTTTTACAATATCGGTAACAAATTTATCCGAACTAGCGTATAAATATTTCGTGCCAAGCAGAAGAAAATTTAGTGTTGGGTATTGCGAGAACGCAATACCCAACTGACTAAACTCTTTACAGTAAACCTGTTCACTTTCATTCATATGAGTGATTATGATGATGAGTGATAGGGAATGAAAATGAATTTCCTGTGATTTTAATGAAAATGAGGGCAAGATTCAGTCATTTCTGATGAATGACTGTGAATGAAAGATTTCTCACTCGTTTCATTTGTCACCCTATGCCTAATATGTTTGAGGGGTGAAGTTAAATGAAGTGAAGTAAAATGAATCTGAACGAAAATGACTGAATGTGAATGAAAATCATCAATCAGAAATCGGGATGACTGACTTTTGAATGAAAACTAAATTTTTGAAAAGGGCTGCTTTACAGTATATTTAAATTGTTAAACAACTAATCCGAAACGGGTAGAATCATGTACCATAAATACTTCAGTAATTATTTAATACCAGTTTTCTAAGAGTGCAGGCACATACAGAGTGCATTGGAACAGTTTGTTTAAGTATGGAAATCGAGCCCAAGTATTAAATTCACGGTTCAGTCCACTCTATCCCAGCAACCTTGAACCATTCCAATTTTCGATTAAATAACATTTCCAGTCCCTTAAAAATGTTCACTAATCGCACCCTAAACATTATCCGAATTTCGATGGGAATCTACTCCTCGCTCGGAAGTAATCCGTATTACTGGGATTCAAAACAAAACTGCATGTCTGTCTGCTCAACTTTAAGGAGAAATATTTCTTTTATGTTCGCCGTTTTAATTACTGTGATCCAATTGTGTTTCTTATTTTGGCGACTTATTCAACATTCTCAAGAATTAGAGGCTAATCGTTCATTCGAGGTAATTGTGTGGCTCTGGATTTGGATAATCTTAACATCTTGGGCCCTAGTTTCCTTCCATAATGGGTGGACCAAGAAGAGCGAAGTTGTCGGTATGTTTAAAGGGGTGCGACTTTTCGCACGATGTTTCGAGAACGGTAAGTTGCATGTGACCGCTAAATTCTATTTTAGTCTTAATATCGAGCTCACAAAATGTCGGATCTTCTAAAACATAAGAATTTTAAATATGCATGACGAGTGTTAAAAATATAGCGACAAGCCTTACAAATTAACTCAGAAATTTATTTTTACTAAAGAATCCTTCATAAATTTTGCCATCTAGGTACATACAAAAGTAATCAATTCTTCAAAAACTGGTATCATTAAAAATGTACGTGGTTTAATTTCCTTTCAGAATATCCAAAAGCAAGGATGAAAACCTTACTAAGAAATTTTAACTCGATCGATATCCATTTCCTGGTAGTAATTTGGATCATTTTCACTTACGTAACGGCTGTTTCCCTCATGTTTTTCGTCGCTCCTGGAAACTCGCAGTACTTTTATTCTCTCGTCGAGGCCAAGAGTCAAACGGGCTGGACAGGAATAGTCTTCATACTATTTCTTGCGCTGGAAGTGTATGCAAAATCGTCACAAGTTTTTATGATGGCGACCGAAGTATTTTCAATTATACCGGCCCTTCTCCCAGCTGCATTTTGGATGGATTACATTCGAAGGTAAGCCTATTTATTTATGGTGCATTCAAGGAAGGGGAATTTTGCTCTCACTCCCGAATTTTGATGCCTTATTGAGTTGAATTGTACACATACACATATGTACACTCAAAATAAAAATTTGTCGAATCAACACCGCCGGTATCAATACATATGTATATGACTGGTTGGATTTGTGTTCCCTTATTAGCTCACCCTGCGTAGCATGAGAGCTATTGAATTCCTCCTGTCCGTCTGTCTGTCCGTCCGTCCGTGTGTTCACGAGTTTTTTGCATCAATTGATGCTAATTAATAAGTCCCAAAACCAGTTTAACCCAAATTAGTAGCCCAACTGGTATGAAATAATCTATGTCAAACTTGGCTAACAATTTTTTCCGCTTATTTTCCACCCTTGGTGCATAATTCTATCAAAACCAAAATGGGTTGACCATTATTTAATAAGTTCGGCGCACCATTGGTATTGAACAAACCGAATCGAACTTTTTAATAAGTTAATAGCACCGTTGATACCTAACAATCGGTAATACAAAATGATGCGAAATAATTGGGGGACGGGACGCAAAACGCACCAATAGTGCAGAATATCCGGGAGAAATGATCATACAATTTTGACAAAGTTTTCAAAATTATGATTCCCGGATCGTCGCTAATACTGCACTAATGGTGTAAAGGACTGCCGGCTCTATTGCACCATGGGTGCAAGAATATCTACTAGGGTTGCCGCGGGTAACGGGTCGGGTACCCGTTACCCGCATACCCGCACGATTCTTGCGGGTACCCGTTATCTGCGGGTAGCTGGAACTAACCGCACGGGTAACGGGTAGTTCAGTTTTTATTTAATTTTCCACATAATCCAGTTCACAAAGAAAGTTAACAGCAAATTAGTCCATTTACCAACAAAAGCGTCAATTTATTATTTATTTCATAATTTGCCATTCGCCATTTGCAAGCAACTAGCGTTTATGGTGAGGGTGTCTTTTTGGAAGCCAATGACAACCTCAAATGTTTTTCAAGTCCCGGAAATGCGGAAAAATTATTGTTTCTCAAGCATAATCTGCCAGCTCTAAAATATAAGAACTAATTTGTGTTGTATTTGTGTGTATTTATGTAAGACTGATGATATTTTAATTTGTTGTGATGAAAAATCATCTCAATCCGATTAAAGCCAAAAGTTTTATTCGTAGATGATTTTTTTCAATGGAAACTTCATTTAAATCAAAATTTCAAAAAATCAAACTAAAAAGTGAACCTTTTTCCAAGCTACACCAAGATTGTCTAATGAATATATCAAAAAGTCAAGCCAAAAATTAGGAATCGCGTGATACTATCGCGTGATACTATCCGTTCAATGTCTACTTTGCGACAAAGTATTGGCGGCAAAGTTCAATTTTTAAGTAAATGTTTTGCATCTTTTTTCCTTGACTGGACGACAACATGGTAGACTTCCAATCCCCCAATAGTTTTCTTTAAACGGTGTTATTCAACGGAAAGATAAGCGATAATTCCTAATTTTTGGCTTGATTGTTTTATATAATTCGATAAGAAATTCCGGTATAGCTTGAAAAATGTTCCATTGTAAACCAAAAAGTTTGGTTTCAGAAAAATCGAATGAAATCTAGCAAATTACGGCATTCGTTACTTGCACAGCGCTATCTCAAACTACTGAATAACCCAACTAAGCAAATAATTGATTAAATAAAATTTATTTAGGAAGTTGTTTAGGGATCGTCCATATATTACGTCATCAAAATAGTGGGTGGGTGGTTTTCCGAATTGATGATGATTGTTGACTTGGTGGGTGGATGGTTTTGCTCTTGATGACGTCAACTTAAATATTTCTATATATTTCTTTGTTTTTGCACATTTTTTTCAAAAACTGCATAAATTTTTTATTTTACATACCAAATTGTTGAAACTGAAAAATTGTGCGCAGAATTTTACATATGTATGTAGGAGGTATGAATACTTTTGACTTGCATCTGCCATCTGGCTTCCGTAAATAATACAATAAAAACTCAATTATTTAGTAGCCGGGGCTACTATTTAAAAAATCGGTGGCTGTGACCCGGCTACTACATAGTCGGACCATAAGTGCCCGTACATGCATTTCTAGTGATAAATCACAAAGTATTAGAGCTATTTGCTAGAAATTTTTATGGATGAACAAGGCACTAATATTGTTTAGAAATCATAACTTAGTTTTCAAGATTTCGTCCAGGGGCTTTTACGCAAGACATAACTCGTGACAGAAACTGCTCGCTCGCGGCACGCGGCGTTTTCATGAGATAAGTGCTCCACACTTTCGTTAGGATGACTTCAGGCCATCCACGCTTATGTGAGATTTAGAACATACTTGTATCTATAATTTTGACCACCGGTCATAATTTAGAGGATTAAGGTCTGCAGATGCTGAGGACCGTTCTTGGGATGAAAAAAGGTCAGCAAAATTCGTTCGAAGCCATTTTTGGACAATTTTTGCAGAATTGTCGCCAACCAGAGCATCTTGATAAGTCAAATGTTGGTTATACAAGCGTTCATGGTCCAGGGAATTAACTATTAGCTTTTGGAAACTCTGAAAATAAGTCTTGGGTTAAACTTGTACCCTTTGCGGCAAAAAACAGAGATTTGCCTTTTGCATGCAACTGGCTCCTGTCAGATCCAGGGCGATAATTTCTGATTGACCTCTGCATACTAAATGGAATGTCAGGGTTCCGTAGAGCAAATATCTGGCCATTTTTTTTCTATTAACTTTGTCTCTAAAGGCGAAAAGTCTGAAAACCTTTTGTCCTGAAAACGGCGCGTGCCGTGAGCGAGCAGTTTCCGTCACGAGTAATGTCTTGCGCACAAGCCCCTGGATGAAATCTTGAAAACTGAGTTATGATTTCCAAACAATATTAGTGCCTTGGTCATCCATAAAAATTTCTAGCAAATAGCTCTAATACTTTGTGATTTATCACCAGAAATGCATGCACGGGCACTTATGGTCCGAGTATGTATTTTAGTAAGGCCACTGTTTGGGCAACGTCACCATTTAAAAAAATATTAAGATGAACACGGCTACTATTTGCATACAACTGTTATTTTCATTTCCTGGATCAAGCTCAAATTAAATTGAAATAACCACACCAATTTTTCCCTTAGAGTCGTAGTGCATTGGAATATTATTCGCGCTCGACTTGCTCTTCAATGATTCCTTTGATGAGCTATATTCGTGTGTTCTGATCGACTCATCCATTTGATAGCGTGTATCTGCGATTATATTTATTTATAATTTAATTATCGTAATGAACGGTCAAGAAGTATGGTTGAATGGAAATAGAGACGCGTCTATTCGAACAAGGCTACTATTTGGGCAAGGCTGCTATTTGAGTACTGTCACTATTGATACAATTTTGAAAATAGACACGGCTACAATTTGAGTTTCTACGCTAAATCAAAGTCCACATTTATTTAAAAATCTCTCAATATCACGTATATAGCTGTTAAAATGATAAAATCTAATTATTTTCCTCGAAGGTGAAATCATTGACATTATATTATTTTTGTTTTACATGCTTAATTATAGTATTTGGAGCTGTTTAAAAATTGACCAAACTCACCGCAGCGAATTGGTTTTGTTAGTTAAGCAACTTTATTCTCAAACTATAAATAATATGTAGGTAGTTACGGGACGTTAGTGAAATTCGTGAGTTACAAAAAACTGGTCAAAATGTGCCCACGAAATTTAGGGCAGTCAAATTCGTTTCGAATTGTTGCATCAGGACATTCAAGCGAATTTCATCTTTTGTGATTTAAATATCAATATTGCTCCCTGAAGAAGATAGCAGCTCCCTGTCGAAAGCTCGGAACAATAATACATTTAAAATGTCATCCATGATTCCCGTACAAAACTCATTATATTTTTTGTGAGGTTTTCAATATTTTTGAAAATTTTCTAATTGTCTAATCATTTCTAATCATTTTTGGCATATTTTTTAGTTACTATACTGAAAAAATGTATATTTAAAAAAAACTGAGTTTGATGTCGAATATGATAACGCAACTATGGGGGATGAATAACAGGCATTTTTTTAAAGTCAAACCTATCTGAACAAATATGCAAAGTCCTGATGCCAATAATTTAGACTAAATACTACAACAATAGCTTCATCTCAGGCGAGCGATAGCTTTTAGTCGTGTTTTGAAAATGCGCCATTAAACAAGTTTAATTGCGCATTGATTTTGGCCAAATAAGTTTTAAATTGCAAATGCACATAAATATTCCGACCGTATGCTAGCGGTTTCCTGAATGCGAGTATTGTCTACTATTTATGACAGAAAGTTGATACAAATTGTTAGCCCAAAACATAATTTTTACCAAAGGGTATTGATGACAATCCGAATTTTTCCCGCCTCTACCAGGAAAACAAAGATAGTGCTGAAATTTATGCGAAAACTTGAAGTTCGTGTCCAAATGGTTTAGGGGAGTTAAACACTAGAAAACTGATGATGTGAAAATCAAACATAAATTGTTTGTTATTGTGAAAAATATCGTCGAATCTGCACAATGTTGTCACGGATTACGGAACAGGCCAAGCCAAAAAAAGCATTTTTCCACCAAAATATTGATGTCCTAGTTGAATTTGCATAAATGCTTTGAAAAACTTGGTATTTGACAAGATAAATAATTTCGTCGGCACATCCTTGACACTGATGAATCTCAAATCGAGTTATATCCAAAATTACACAGACAAAATAGAGGATAAAGAACAGCCAAACCAAAGAGTTGAGGCTTGATTAAAGTCAACTGTGGAATCACCAATTCCTAAGGTAATTCAGATAAATAGTTGGCTTTCGTCATACTTTCACTTTTCAAAAAACAAGCATTTCCTTTACGGTAAACAATGTTGTCGAATTAAATCAACACCCTTTACATAAATTCTACAAATTCTAACCCAATCTCAAAAATTCTGAATATTTTCTCAAAATTAGTTATGTTTCTAGAAGATTTTAAAGGTTGCAACTATGTTACTATTTCTGAATTTTGGAAAATGCATGAAGATCTTCAAATTTTTTAAGCTTAAAAGAAAATGAAAAGTAGGATTTTTTATTTACTAATTGTAGTTCTGAGCAAGAATAAATACCATCATCCACGAAATGACTGATATGCATGCCCATTTGCTTAATAGTAGTCAGATTGTAACTGTGTTAATATCTTTTACCCAAATCCCAACATTTCTTATTAGTGGAGTTAATAAAGCTGTATTGGTCATAAAATTGAAGAACTAAATACTAGCTTCATAATATCGATTGATAATTTTGAGATTTCATATGTTGACGTCATCATAGGGGGTGGATGGGTGCTTTTGAGAAATGATGACGATTGATGATTTTGGGGTGGGTGGGTGGTTTTTTCAAGATTTTTTGATGACGTAATATATGGACGATCCCTTAGTTTTTCACTTAATTCTCATAATGGGTAACGGGAAACGGGTACCCGCACGGGTACCCGTGCGGGTACGGGTAGTTGTGCTGCGGGTAACGGGTCGGGTAACGGGTAGCATTTTCGCTACCCGCGGCAACCCTAATATCTACGAGTTTTGATTTATTTTGTCGGCTTATTTCATACCTTCGGTGCAAACTTCTGTCCAAATCATTATGACAGGGTGAGCTACTTCTAACGTTACTACGGTTTATTTATACAGTGTTGAATCCGAGTTATTTATTTTGATACCGGTAATTATATTGTTATGACCGGACGGAAAAAATTCATTACTACTCGGAATCACTATTGTAACCAAGGCGGTTAAGTCATATATTGACACCGTTTTGTTTTGAGTGGATTGTTTGCTGAAACCAAGAAATGATTTACACTAAACTTACACTTGAGACTACTGCCGTCACAAATTTAGTTAATATGCAAATTATGAAAGATACTATGTATTCTGTATCTGCCCATGTTCAGGTTTTGCGGAGATATTTGCATCCGAAGAGGACGCAAATGATGCACAATTTGGACACAAAATTTGTTACTGATTAACTTTAGAAACGGTGCACATATTTCGGACGTCCTTTAGACACAATTATTTGGCTAGAAAACGCCACCCCAATTTCCGATTTATGTACATCCTTATCCCGCCCAAACTTTTAATTTAGCAATACAATTTATGTACTAAACAATTTTCTAGATCGAGTCATTACACGATCAGAATTTCTCAGAAGGTCGCCATCTTCCAAAAGATCCAGATCCTAACTTCCTACTATAATCACGCCTCAACCCCACTCTTAACTCGCATCCTGTCCGTCCTGGTTCCTTCCGCCCTGTGCATCACGTGCTGCTTCGCCGCCATCCGATTTCATATTTTCCTCCCCTTCTTCCAATACATCCCATTCCCCACTATTTTCAACAACGAGTTTTCCATCATTGCCGTCACCTTAATTCCAGCCACCGCAATTTACGAATCATCCAACAAGCTTTGTCTCCACATTCGGAAAAAAGTCGATGCGAAAATGGGAAAGATGTGGCGCAAAAGGTTGACCGCGCTGCACCCTTTGGGCGTCCAGATCGGTCCAATCTGCAAAGTTCGAAAGATTGCGATTCTTCTTTGCTACAATTTTATAGCCAATTATATTTTTACTCTGTTAATTACATTCCCACACGAGAAAGTTGTTCGCTAATAAAAATAAAGTATGTATTGAATAAAAAAAATAAAGTCCATGAAGAATGATGTTTCTTAGATTTAATGAATTGTCAAATGTGACAGAATTTACAGGCGCCAATATCATGTGCCTACTTGACTATATTGAGCAAAAGGGCAAAAAGGCATAAAACTTTAGAAAAGTTATTTACAAAAACATTACACATTCTTGGAGCTAAAATTAAACACATAAACAATATTATATACCTATACATATATATTTTAGTAACATATATGTAACTAACAATGGAGTTACATACGTCTCCCAACGTATGCTCATAGATTTGGACCAAACTAGCGGCAATCGGTCACAAATATGATTAGCATGAAATTTTGCAAATGCAACTATGCGGAGATATTTGCATCCAAAGGAGGGAAAATGCGCAGCAAATTTGGAAAGTGAAAAATTTGTCATCTTTGGGGGTGCGTTTATGCAAATATCTCCGCTAAACTTGAGCATTGGCAGATAGTTCCATTTGCAAATTTCATCCTGATTATATTTGTGATCGATTTACGCCAGTTTGATCCAAATCTATGAGCATACGTTGGGAGACCTCTATTGTCAGATATTGTACACATGAAGAATGTCCATAGTCATAAATACATTTTATGTTATATTTATGTACGTGATTTCTCTCCGGCCCACAATAAACTTATAGTTACTCTTATCACGAATATAAATTCTTGTTGGTGCAGGTTAAATACAAAGTCACGTATAAGATTTTAATAATTTATGAAATTTTGTGCGATGTATGTAAGCACGAAGAGTCGGTAAAGTAAAACGATTCTCAGTTAGAAATGTGATTGTTTCGTGCGTGAAATAAATTGTGTACCATTTTGTAACGTCCAGTGTGTTCGACAAACATACACTCTTAAAAACCCGGTGATAATCCTCACCAATCGGTATGCATACATACCTATGTGGCTTGACCGTGCGGTAATAATATGTCTCACCAAATGATGGTCAAATTAGCACCAACCAGTGACAATTTGTCCACATGCGGGCAACACTTATCACCAAGCGGTGAAAAACATTATCACTATGACTTAAGGCCACATTCGGATCATTCACTACTCTGCTAGGGCTACTAAATAAATAAATATGCAAGCAGCATTAAGATCTGAGAAGGGCTTGTACAGGACATTTTCTACTTACAGTTAGTAACTCTGGATTTGTAAGAGTGTACAGAATGGATACACCATTGCCTAAAAACCCTAGATTACACTAGAACCAAAGTAAGTCATAGGTCCGCTACAGTATGGGCAGCAAGTCATTATACCCTCACACATTTTGCACTTAAAGCCTCATCTTGTTCGATGACCTTGAAGGGATGAACCACAATTTCGCAAAATTACTTATCATGATGCAAGGTTTTTGGAACCATACTTTGGATAGCGGCCTGGCACAAGCAACGACACCGTGGAATTATATCCAAAATTCGGACAGGAAAAAAGTCTTTACACCCTCTGAGTTTTTGGTATTTTCAGTGTAATTTTGAGAAACATCCCTTAAATCTTTCTTCACCCACCAGGTCATGTATTATTCTTTGATAAATAACATTTTTGCAATGCTGGACTACTTGTCTGTTATCAATATTAGCTCATACTGACTCAAAAACACCTTAGCCCCGTTCTGGGGCAAAAAGTTGTTATTTTTGATGATAAAAGGCTTCGACACCAAAGAATTTCCGATTAACTACCCATTAAGAATAGTATATTTGCCAGAATAGTCTGGAACTGCAAAAAATTTGGGATGGTATAGAATTTAACAGCTTTTTCATGGGCATAGAGCACGCGCCCAATGACGGATCACGGCAACTTCGGAAAAAGCCAATGAATCCACGGTAACCTTCACTAAAAATCAACCTGGAAATGATAGGAGAATATAATCTTCGAGTTTCTGTGCGAATTATGAAGAATCGGATCTCTTAAAATGGATTTGAATAGCGAGCAACATGGAGAAATCCATTTCTCAGCTAAGGCCTATATTGTGGACTGCTCTAAATGGGATAAAAAGCATGATGATTGGACGGCTAAACGTTAGAAACTCCAGATATTGTTCGACGACGTCAACATCAACTTGTTTGGTTCAAATTGGGACCAGTGGAATGTGGATTCAGCAAAACGACGCTGACAACCCCACCGACAGTATGCTACCCATTAATTTTATTGGTGAAAACCAAATTGTTTGGGCGTTACGTAGTGGAAGGGCGTCATAAATTTTGATACAACCGAAGTAATGATGTACAAAAACTATTACTGCGACATTTTGGGTTTTAATTCGATGGTGGCGAAAGGAAATAACCGCTGGGGAATAATTATATTTTCAAATTGGAAGGTGATTCTATGCACCTATCAAAATTATTGAGGAATTGGTTTAGAACAAAAGAGATTTAACGTTATAGCATCAAGTGATTAGGTTAAGTGATTAAGTTGTACCTTATTCTATTTTCAGCCAGGGTTTCGATTATTAAGAACCAACAAGGCCAGGGCAGCCACGTCAAGTTTCACACGGTAACATGAATGTCCTGTATCTGGGGTCCGAGTAGATTCTAAAGAAAACAGGGATACCATGGACACGAACCACACCTCAGAAATTTCCCTTGTGAGTAAGTTGACGTAAATTTGTGAGGTAATTTGTATTTGAAATATTTTTTTTAATTGAAATTTTGTCTAATTTAACGGAACTACAATGTGATGGTGAGCATCCTTACAGCTTATTTTACGCAATTCGCTTTAGTTTCTCTTCCCGAAACTGGGCATCATCTCCTGATGCGTCTTTATCTTCGTTACATTATTCATGTCAATGACATGATTTAATTGGTATTACATATATGTACATCATTACGTCGTGCGGGAACATTTACTTAACAAGAGTTAACCTAATTAGTTAGTACGCACCTAAATATTTGTCTGCGAAAATCCACCGTAATCCTGTCTGAAGCTCATACATAAAAATATTCGTTTTAAAATATAATTCAACAGAGAAAAGATACATATGTACGTGAAAACGGACGACGGTGATTTTGGTTCTGCAGTCGTAAAAAGTCAAGACAACCTTGGGAGGTAATCAGACATTGACCGATTGGTTTATTTCGGATTTTTCATCGTGGAATGACAATTTTTACATTAACGATTTACGACTTTTGACTCATTTTGGAACGCTTAAAATAATGAGTGAAAGAAAAACAATCTCCTGTGATTTACATTCGTAGCAAATAGTGGGGTTTTGAATAGATTTCGGAAAACGAAATGATGGTCTTGAATGGGTTCGAATTTTTTGAGTTGTCTGGAGAAGATATGTTGAATCGGAAGATTTCCAAATGGTACGAGATCCTCGCAATAACCGCCTCGTTACCGCCTCTCTGAGCAGGTCAGGGCGTAACAGAATTCAACCTGGCATGTTGGAATCACTGGCCGTGGTCGATGAACTATTGCTCCCAAAAGTCGTCGCCGTGTCAAGTCGTAGTGGTGTTGCTTTAAAAGATTTTTGCAAAGCGTGTAGCATCCCTTTTTCAGCCTTGCGTGAGGAAGTGCCTGCCTCAACTTGTCAAGATCCTCCTCTTCATGTTGTTCTTTTGGTAGGCTTGCCAATTTCTTTATTATGGCGACCATCTCCTTCCTCCTGTTGTTTTCATCCTCGTACTTATCGTTATAAGCATCGTCAGGGATGTCGGCGTCATCGTCAAGCTTAAATCGCTTGATTTTCTCACCACGTCCTGCCAGACCATGTGAGGTCGAGGGCTGAGGGGACCGCGCACGCCCTTGACGAGAAGCGGATGCTGTTGGTGCTGGGGGCGACGACATTGGCGATCCTGAAGTGGAGGGTGGCAAAGACGAGACTCGAACATTGGCTGAAATTAATAAAAAAATTGGGAGCATTCATAATTGCATCCACATAGTTGAATGGTTAACAATTTTGTCACCTGAACTGTGAATCTCCCCGCCCATTGTCATTGACATGGATGAAGATTGTGGAGACGTTGATACGGGTCGTGAAGACGGCTGCTCCGTTTCTGCCAGAGGGGAATCGTTGTCGTGGTCTGAAATTGGTAAGAGTGTGTAAGAGAGTGCATAAAAAAAGTACGTACAATAATTTTTGCATATACATATGTATGATAACGATCATCGGTTTCTGATGAACAGCGACAAAAATAGTCGTCGTTGTCCGCTACACATGAAATTATGTACAAACTTTTATTACTTACGTAGTGTATTTAGGCACAGGTTAAAAAATTTTTCAAGCTTTTAACAACAGTAAATGTTTGTCAGCAGTTTTTTTAGGTTTATAATTCTTATCTACTTACTTAATCATTTAAAACGACCAAGCGAATCTCTAATCCAAATGACAAAACTTACCTGCTTCCAAATAGTCTTCGTCACCTGTCATACTAGATTTAAGTAAAATCACTACTCAGTGTCAAAGATTTTAAATACGATCCCAAACACTGACGTTCAAGTAGGAGCTGTTGGCGAGGTGATTGATGAACGTCGACTGGACTGAGAAGAATGCAAAGTTTGGACGTGGCGCTCAACTCTCCGGGCTCGTCTCACTCGCTCGTTCACACTGGTCAGCAATACTCAAGTTCTTGGCCAAAACCTATTACTCACTCTAAATTTCTAAATACCGTTACGTTTGACATGATGTTCAGCGTTGAAAAGTTTGATTTGAATTGTGCAACTGCTTATGGCATGGCATACACTTAAACTTGGTTTATAAATAAAATTCTCAAACTCATTGAAGCAAAACTTTCAAATTTTAGATTTGCCCATACCCCCTGCATGTGGGTGTGCCCGTGATGTCCCGATGCTTGTCAGAACCCTAGAACATTCCCGGAGACAAATTTTAAAAACATGAATAGTTCGAGAGCTGCAGATATAGATTGTGGCCAACAAATTAGATAATCCGGACCAGTGTGTCGTGTCACTACTATCCCAATCATGCATGACTTTAATGTAAATGCAAAAACTCTGACATTG